AAATGTAAACATCAGGGGAAAAGATCTGAAAATATAGGGCACATGGTAAAACATGCTGAGAGCAACACTTTTATCAAAAATCTATTTGCAAAACTGTCCAGAGCTATTTCTATAAATCTTTCATTTGTTGATACTGCCCCCTGGTGTCTGGCAAAGCGTGGTGCAACAATGTGAGATTGTACAGTACAATGCATTGGAGTATATTATTTAATTTCACTAAACAGGATGGAAAATAAAAGCACAGTTCTTCATTAACAACACGGTTATGTACTTGTTGCATTTACACATTTTCAATTTACTACAGTCGAAATAAAAGTTTGAGATGGATGGGCAGTATAAGCACAACTGTGAAGGAAGAGAGGTGCTATCCTACCTCTGCATGCCACATGTCTAGTTCTTTGTAGTTCTTTTACTTCAAGTAATGAAAAGGTACTCAGATCTGATCGGTGACTATTCACTGATAGGGAGGGAAAAACATCGTTGGAAGATTGGGTAATAAAACAAATTCTTTACAACAATAGCCAATATTTCTTCTTAATGGATGATAATAGCCAATAATTTACCATACAGTTAAATATAAAGCTTTTAGAGTGACCCATAATTCTGACAGTGAATCATATTTGAAAATAAAATTCCACTCCACTAAAATATACTTTGACCATGTTCGTCATTAATAATAAAATTTGATGGTGGTTAATGTTATGGTTGCACGGCATCAAACCTGAAAAAACAGACATCAAACAAAAACGTTCAATACTTTCAAACTGTTTTAAGGGTTCAGTAATAGTTTATGTCGGAACCAACAGGCAATCCTGAAACAACTTTTAAGGGTTTAATTAAATTGCGGAACCATTATTTTAAATGGGATTAGGGCCCATTTCAGGCTCCTGCTGATCATCCACGTAGTACGGATCTCCTTGATGGACTCTGTGATTGTGCACCCTCAGGTTTCCCCTGTGAGCAAATCTCTTCCCGCACTCTGTGCAAGCAAAGGGCCTCTTCCCCATGTGAACGTCCCGTTGGTGGGCTCTAAGGTTCCCGCTGCGGGCAAAACGTTTACCACACTGAGAGCAGCCAAAAGGCCGCTCCCCTGTGTGTGTGCGAGTGTGCACAGTGAGCTCAGAGGGCGTGAGGAAGCTCTTGTCACAAAACTGACAGGGATGCAGTCTGACTCCTGTGTGGCGTAAAAGGTGTCTGCGCTGGTGGGAGGGGTAGGTAAAACACTTGGTACAGTATGGGCAGGTGTAAGGCCGTCCGTTCCCTCCGCCAGGAGCTGCAGGGTGGCTGAGAGTGTTTGTGTGTCGAAGCGTAAGCGACTGTGAATTGGACTGCGGTCGGAGAGGGTCTCTGTTGCCAAATGTTGTGACCCGCCGTGTGTGGTTGATGGGGCCTCTCCCACCCCTGTCGTCTCGGGGCCTCCACGGTGATTCACCAGAGGGGGCTTGGGTTTGAAGCTGCCGAGCCGCCCTCTGCCCCACGCTCTGGCTCTGCACTGAGTTCTGATTGGAGTTCTGGTTCTCAGGCTCCTGGTCCAGGAAAGGGAAAGCGCTATCGTCATCTTCATTGCTGGTCTCGTCAGAGCCAAAACCAGGTCGGAAGCAGGATGCGTCTGTGCCAGTGCTGCTGCTAGCTGGACCTGAGCAGCTGGTGCCATCTGCCTGCAGGTTCTCCAGACCAGACACCCCACCTCGGGCAGCGTCCAACCCGGGTAACCACTCCCCTGGTTGAGCTAGGCTCGGGTCAGGCCTGGGGGAGCAACGCCCACTCTGGGAGATGGATAGAAAAGGAGCAGAGTCTTGATCCTGGAGTGGTCTGTGGTCTGCACTGCGGCTGACCTGATCCCAATGAGACACTGCCAAGAAATAAGTGGGAAAAGGACAACTGATGCACGTTCACCATTTTTAATAAAATATACTCAAAAGAATTTCAAGGTCCTCTTACTTTAGCATTAAAAAGCTTTGATAGTCAATAGCGAGAGAAGAATGTAGTGACTTCTTACATTTGGCCTTGGCTTGTGTGACAGACAAGGTATCTATGTGCCTCTGGTCCACAGCAGGGAGGCCTCCCTCTGGGGCTTGGACTGTGACAGACCCCAGGGTAGGCCGTGATCCAGCACGCTGAGGAGAAGCAAAAACAGAAATGTAAGAAGCAGAAAACACAAACAGCTAGGCGTGGAGCAAATGTCACTTTGTGCTGGCTGTTCAGAAATCATACAGGCGTAATTACGTGTTCATTAAACAGCCACATTTGAATCATGAAGAGGCAAAACAGGGTCTGACCTCATGTTTAACTGAAGCTCCATCCTGGCCAGTGACCTCCTCTTTCAGCCCGCCGAGGCTCTGATTGAGTCCTTCTACTGGGTCTGACTGAGACGACACATCCTTTCCCACATTCAGTCCTGTGCAAGAAAAGCGTAGGCGGTCAGTGTAACAGTAAAGCCGCTGGTGCTAGTTCAGTCATTAAAGTGTTCAGGGAGAAAAAAAGGTTCAGCTTAATGAAAAATGGGGTTGAACGCACCCATGCAAGGGATAAGCAAAAAAAATAAATAAATAAAAAAGATGGTTTGATGATATTTTATCCTACTGTAAGTCCACTTCACTCTGCTGTCCTACAATAACCATTTACTCCTGACTTTCAATATTACCTGATCCCATCGGGGTCTGCTGCCTCAAGCCGCCCTCTCTGTCTCCTGATGGCATCTCCCCTTCCTCGCTCCCTCCACCCTTCACCTTCTGCCTCCTCTCGACCTTCTCCAGCTTGCCGCGGAGGACGGAGATCTCCTCTGTTTTCTGCACTAGCTCCGCCTGCTGTTCACACAGGCTGCCCTCGAAGATCTTGGCGATCTCGCACACGGCGGCTGCCAGCAGCGAGTCCATGACGGTGGCCAGCTGAGCGTGGAAAGCACTCCTCACAGACTCCATTGTCCTGTGTGTCAGTGGTGATGTCTCACCGTCAACGAGTGACTGACACCGCTGTTTCCTCCTGTGGTTGGCCTCAAGAGGCAGCTGAGGGACGATGTGACTACCACTGTACGCTCCTCTGCTGTGGCATCTATGAACTGCCATGAGATGCTGCCATGCTCAGTAGCTACGCCATTCGCAGTGGTGTGTCGCAGCAAGTTGCTTTTACCTCCCTGTGGTTGAATGTCTCTTACCTGTGCTACGTTTTTGGAGGGTTTAACAGAAGCTACCGTGTCAAGGCAACCTGCTTTGTCTTGTTGCCTGGTAGCTACCGTAATATATACAGCGCAATTAAACGCAGAGCCAGTTTGAACAGTACGGGTGAGTTACATAAGCAGTCCACTTCTAGCTATAAGAGAACAAACATTAAACAGGCGATGCTATCGGTGTTAGCTACTGCAACGATATTGCTAGCTTACGTTTACCTAACAGCTAGTGTGTATACAGGGACGAAGCCATTCCTAGCCCTGAAGCTAACTGTGTGAAGGCAGTGGAAACAGCCGCAGACGCAGCTCGACGGTGTCTCTCCACACTCGTTTGGTCAAATATCTTCACTGGCTTACATTAAATCAATGTCAACACTTCAGTCACAGTCTTAAGATGCGGCGACTCGTCATCCAGCTAGCAGGTTGGCTCCTGTGATGTGAACATTGTTGCAAATCTCGCGATAACACCGCGTTAAGGTTTCAGGTACTACAGATGAGATAAATAAGTACATGTGTAATTTTGTTTAGACCTTCAGATTAATCTTTCATTTTAATTAAACGAGGTGGTACTTTGCTGTCAAATTAAAGAATACCATTTATATTACTTATTAAATATGCAAGACATGGTATAAATGTGGATTTTATTGGGGAGAAATGTAAACAATGTCTCAATCTAGCAACAATACAATTGTCTACACCTAGCAACACTATTGTAACAGTTATTTGAGAAAAGAAAAAAAGACAAAACAGTCCACTTTTGTTCTCTGTTGTTTCAGAACTCAAGCATCAGATGAAATGGTTTTACAGGATAACTGCACAGTACAGTCAACATTGCAAAGCTGGGTCCAAAGGTCTGACTCCGCAGCCACACATCAGCAAACTGTACTGATTGGAAATTGTTCGATTGATGTGGTTTCTCAAATTCTGTTCAAACGTGTAGCCTTGATACGAAACAGCACAAGCTATTATAAGGCAAAAAGAAGACAAATACGTACAGATAACTCAACATTTACTTTCACTAGATACAACAGTGCTGGGGGGGATTTTATGATATGTACTGCGAGGTGACAGATTGTTAAAGTTTAAAAGATTTTGTTATACAGCTTCTACCGAGGTAGCTATTCTGTTCGTATATCAGACCAAAGCAGCCAATACTGTAGTAGAAGAGCAGCTCTTCTTTAAGGCAGTCTTAGATTTACATTACTTTTGCATCAATGTGATGAAGTACCCTTAACATATTAGCCAAAAACACATATTACCATAATTTTTTTAATATATAAATGCTTAACTGGATTTCCAGAAAAATTTAAATGATCACAATGTGCCAGTATTACAATATAACATATGTACTGTGATAAGTTTCATTTATTGCCCAACCTTTTGCAAATTGTTTTCATGTCATCAGTCAACAACAACAAATGTTCCAAGTTTTTAGACAAGTAAAAATAATGGTAGAACACAAATAGGACTGAACCCCCACTGTACATAAAGACACTGTAGTTTTACCTCAGTGTTCTTACTTTAGATTGAAATGACACAATATGTGACATTAAACTACAAAACTCATTGTTTAAAGACTTGCAGGGTTCAGTTTGTGGTTCTCCTGTTCCACAGTGCTACATGCATTTGAATATTTTTAATAAAAAAAAAGGATGCATTTTTAATTTGGTATCAATATGATATCTTGGTGACTTGCTATTTGCAGAAACCAGACCAGATGTTTTATTACTGGTCTTGCAGTACTGTTTTAATATTTGATAAAGATGGAGAATACTGAGGTGACCTGTATAATTATTAAATCTCAAAATAGA